CATACCCCTTTTACTGCATGGTTTGAATTTGAGTGTACCAATAATATGGCAGAGTATGAAGCTTGTATCATGGGTCTTAAAAAGGCTATAAATATCAGAATCAAAATTCTAGATGTATATGGCGATTCATCTTTGGTAATAAATCATATTAAAGGAGAATGGGATACTCGTCACGTTGGCTTAATTCCCTATAAAGATTATGCTATAAGATTATTACCTTTCTTTAATAAAGTTGAACTCCATCATATTCCCAGAGATGAGTACCAAATGGAAGATGCTTTAGACATTTTGGCTTCTATGTACCAAGTAAATGCTTGGAACGATGTACAGTTTGACGTCTGGAATTCAGGAATTTGTCAATCTTCAATCGTTTGGTGAAAATGTCGGTCAACTGTGCTTCACTCGAGCAATGCCTTACTTCAAGTTCACCTCGATTTACCTTTTCCCTCAAGAAGTGAAACCTTGATTCAATATGTTTGCTTCTTCCATGCAGAACTGGATTCTTCGTCATATTTATGGATGACTTGTTACCAATTTGCAATACAAGAGGTTTCTTCACTTCGACCTTCATTTCTTCAAGTATAGATCTGATCCAAATTGCTTGACATGCAGCATAAGATCCTGCTATATATTCAGCTTCACAAGATGATAATGCCACCACAGGTTGTTTCTTAGAACACCGTGAGATTGGGCACCAAATACTTGAAAGAAATATCCAGTTGTGCTTCTCCGATCTTCCTTATATCCATACCAGTCAGCATCTGAAAAACAATTAACTATTGCTTCTTTGTCTTCAGAATCTCGTGAAATAGTATTCAACAATTTATTGAACCCTTCAAATATCTCAGGATTCTTCTTGCAACCTTCATATGTGACACTCTTGGTTCACTCATATATCTGCTTACTAATCCTACAGCGAAATCTATATCAGGTTGGCTGTTGCATACATACCTCAAAATGTTGTTTTAGCCATAACTCGAGTTTCATAGCCCTGAATTGAGTGTTGTCAGAAGTTGTTACAGTGATCTACCTTATGATGAATAAATGTCATGATTATTTATAGTTTGCAACATATTATGATTTCATTATTGATCACTCATTTCAAAGCTAAACTAGGATTAATTTGTACTTCTTCCCCTGAGTGAAGTCCCATTCTGTAGTAGGGAACATGGTGTTGTTGTGTGTATGTGCAACTGCCAAGAAGTACTATGATGTAGTGGAGGCTTAAGTATTTTCCACTTCTTTCCCCCATTGTTCGTTCGTTCTAGTTGAATGTTCAGGCATAACTCAATTGGTGTGCTTGTGCAACCATATAGACAATGTGCACTTGGATATTTACCTCAGTTGTTGTTTCGTGTGTTTGTGTAGCTACGTGGGCGTAAATCACTTAGATACTCACATGCATTATCGATTGGTGTACTTGTGCAGCCATATAGGCAATGTGCACTTGGATATTCACCACATGTGTGCTCGTAGGGCCTTGTGGGCGTGATTTACTTGGATACTCAACTGATTTATTGAGTTGTGTGCTTGTGTAGTCTCTTGGCGTTATACACTTGGATATTCACCAAAGGTGTGTTAGTGTGGCCCAGCTAGTAATACTTAACTACCTCGGGAATCTCCTGTACATAGGATATGAATATGTTTTCTTGGTTGTAATGTTAAGTGTGATATGTAAATTCCTTAAACAGTAAGTAAGGGAAACCCCATATCAATGATGGATATGTATATGATTATGTATCCTGTAGAGTCGAGTGGATCCATAAGATATGGGACTCACTATAATTTAGTAATATCACCCCACTATTATTAATCTTTTCAGATTTCTCGCGGTAAGACAAAGGCAAGGGTAAGATGTCTTAGTCGGCTTGGAGGTGTTTCAGTGGCGTACCTTCCGTGGTGTTTTGAAGCTTCTTAGCTATGTTGTTAGATCTATATATTAGTATGATTTGATGATGTGTCTTTTTGGTCATGATACATTCTTCTTATGTATCTTGTATTAATACTATTCATGTTTTTGTTGCTTACGTTTGATTTTCATGTACCTTAATTTAAAATCTGAATTTTTACCTAAGTCGGGTACAAGTTCTTTCTTTCAAACTGGAACATGTACCTTTAAATCAACGCTTTCGTGGTAAATACTTTAATTAAAAACAGTGTAAAAATCAGCCTATAAAACAAATCTCAATTTAATTAATTAATTAACGACTTAGATGCGAGTACCGTTGAAACGACAATCCTCATATTTCTGGCTCTAATGATTTAGCTGGACATAGACATCACATTAACATCACTGTAAATATATCTCACGCATAAACAAAACATACTCATTATAATATTATAATAGCAAAAACAAACATAAGTAGTACTAAATATTTAAAGAAACAGTAACATGTAATATAGAAAGAACAAAGAACATACATACTAAGAACAAACTGATGCAAAAACTGGAATTGGAAAAGTTCTGAATAAATTTCCAGAAAAAGTATGTTGGTAAGATTACACCACAAATGAACTAAATCTTTCATCTGAAACTTCTGAATTTAACTTTAAGGTACAACAATTCCTCAGTGTGAGAAACAACTGCTTTTACAAAAGTAATTTTCTGCCTAACAATTAAATTCTAAAAACTTGGATATTGAAAGCGGAAGTCTAAGCCCTATTTATAGATTTAAATCTGGTAGAAAGTGTCTTGATATAGTGTTGGAGGAGTGGAGAAAAATCTGCAATTGGGGAGAAAATTGAATCCAAGTTTCTACTATTTTTTATCCTTCAAGGTCCATGGTGGGGGGCATGGCCTTATGGCGGGCGCCATGGGCACAAAGTGTGGAACATGGGGCATCTGAGGGTGATGGTCGGTGGCATGCCTCCATGGAGGGCGCCATGGCTCAAAAACGTAGTGTCTTGCATTTTTCTTGTCTCTTCTAGTGGCGCCCTTGGCTGCCACGTCATGGGCAGCACCATGACAAGCACCATGACAGTCTAATCTTTGTGTTTTTCTCCGTTTTTGTCTGTGTTTTGCCCCCATTTTCTTGCATGGAAGCTCCTACCCATTAAACTTATGAAACAAACACGAAATACCAATATAACATAATAAAAAGAAAACAAAATAGCACAAAATATCATGTGAATCGAGTCAAAAATATGATATGTTTTGTGGTTATCAAATGGTGGACAAACAACTTTAAAGATGGGGACAGATGAAATGATTTTTTTTTGACAACTTGCATGCATGAAGTTTTATGCAAAGAAGTGCAATGAAATGTGATGTCATCAATGCAATGTCAACCAATTCCAGGTCAATATAATGCAATGCATTGTTTCATGTCATGCAGGATTTAAAGGTATTGACTTCAATCAGCACACAAGGAAATTCCCAGGGTGGCAAGGTTTTATGAACTATCTAACCAACATCCCTTCACATGTGAGCTCGAGGGTTTAGATAAAAGGGTACCCAGAGTCATGGATCTTATTCGGAGTTTTGTCGTGCAACGAGCTATCCATTTTATGACAATCTTAACGGAAAAGATCTACTCTAGAAGGGATCTTTGCATTGTCAATTCAACTTGTGCACCCGGGGGGGGGGGGGGGGGGGGAGCAATACTACACAACCACCATAAATGGAGCGGGTTCTAAAAAGGTCCTTATAGTCATCGACCTTAATAGGAATTTTTGTCATGCAACGGGTTAGCCATTTTATGACAAACTTCACGAAAAGATATACTCTAAGTGAGGTCTTTGCATTGATTATACAAGGTTGTGCTCCTTAGATTAAATTTAAATCAAGGAGATTTAAATTTGAATTTAAATCAAATCAAATCTTACTTTATGGGGGCTAATTTAGAGCAAAAAATTTCAATTGAATCTCCATTATTTCTAGACGAAAGCAAATATTTTATCCAAAGGAGAGAAGCCCAAAATGGATTGCTATAAATAAAGACTCTATCAGGCCTTAAAGATTACCTAGTTGAAGAGAAACTTTAGACTTCTAGGCTGAGTCTTTTACTTGTATACCACACTAATGTCTTAGTAACGGCGTAACCATTGGTTTGTTTTTGTTGATTTATACTCAACATACATTATTGTGTTTATTGATGTTGATCACATGTGATTAGTGGTTAAGAGAAAGTGAGAGAGGTTCTCATATTTAGAGGAAAACCTAAGTAGAAAGTCATTAGGATTAGGAAGAGGCATATAGCTTCACGAGGTTCTTATAAGACTAATTGTTCTAATTCAAAGTAGTGAATTTTCTTTCTTGAGTAGAGTGCCCTCTAGACGTAAATGAGATTTCACCGAACTGAGTTATCAATCTCTTGTGTTATTTTACAACTTTTTGTATTGATTTATTATTGTTGTCAAACTATTCTTAAACTGATTTGAAAAGTTAGATAAGTTCTCTTGGACCAACATTTATCTTCTAAAGGACAAAATTTCATTTTGCTTTAGTCTGTTGTAGTTGTTTTTTTTTCTTTTCTAATTTGTGTCCGTTGAACTCTATTTGTGATTCGATTTGTATTAGACGGAATATCTCTCATATACATTATAAAATAATTCCAAAAAAAAAAAATAGTTGCTATATTATGAAAAATAAGACTCAAATAAAACGAGGATTAAATTTCCGAAAAAATTGAAATAGAGAAACTAATTAATCAAATTTTAAAATAGAAGAATTAAAATAAATAAAAAATAAAAAATAGAGGACTAAATTGCAAATAAGACTAATTTAAAAAAATGACATGAACAAAGCATATGTTGTATTAAAACAAACAACGAGAAGAGAATAAACCGAGAGGTGGAAAAAGGATAAACTCTCATCAATTCGAGGTAGGTTGTAGCCACTCCTGTGTTCCAATTTCGTATTTATATCTGTAGATTTTCACTTTTAGTTTTGAAACCCTATAAAAATTTCAACTATTAATTTGTCATAAGAATATTAAATGCTTTGGTTGATTTTATTATATTTATGTATTTATGCAGATTGATTAATTGTGTGTAAAACCATGGAAGAGATGTTGAGTTCATCAACAACAACAATCAATTCTTCCAATATAGGGTTTCAGGTTCTTCCTTTTATTTTCTTCTGAATTATATACTACTCTAATTATTATTATTCTTTTTCTCGTTGTTGTTGTAATTGTAACTCTAATTTGGGATGTATGGTGTTATTTTTCTCTGCAGCTATTGAAGAAGCAGGGTTGGAAAGAAGGGACTGGCCTTGGGATCTCTGAGCAGGTTTTCTTTCTTTCTCTCTTTTTCATTCTTATATGAAAGATGGAATTAGTACTAAATCTTTTGAAAGATAATGGCTTCTTGACTAGGAACTACTTATGACATGTTCACACCGGTAATAATTTAAGAAAGTGACATAATTGAATGTAATCACTTGTGTCGGTTTCAACCACTCATATGTGTCTGGCACCGGCAAGGTTTTAAATAATGGTCGCGGTTGTGTAAAGGCTTTCGCGATTTCGGTTAGACAGGTGTTGCAATGTTGATTGTGGTTGTCGCGTGTGAATTTAGTAATTAACCACAATTTGTTCTTTATCACAAAAATGGTGAATATGAGTATCGGTAACAACACCTTTCAATGATTCTGATAATAAATAAATTTATTTTCGTAACAGGGTAGATTAGAACCTGTGGAAACTCATGTGAAGAATAATAAGCGGGGTTTGGGAGCAGATAAAGTGAAGAAAAAGATAGTGAAACCTGATCATGGTGCTGATTCCTCTAAAGGAGACAATAAGCAGGTAATTTTTTTTTTTGTTCTTAGGTTTGCTTTGTTTCCAAGGGCTTTGGTGGTCGTTGTAAACAATTTACATTAGCAGAAGGCTAACTATTCAAAATAGTGCTGATTTTGTCATTTGTAAATTGGAAATTTATTTACATTAGCTGCCAAATGTTTTCTTATTTTAGGTAGTACAGTTTCCTAGACTATCTTATTGAGATAGATTGTTTTTCAATTTCCTTGTTTTATTTTATCAAATTTCGTGGGGGTGGGGGTTTGATCTAGTATTTTGTAATTAGGAATTGTATAAGTAATTAACGACGGAGGAATACTTTGATTAGTTGATATTTAATCTCTAAGAACAAAGTTGACATATATAATTTAGTAATTAGGAATCATTTTTAGTTGAATGGTAATGATGGAAAAATACTTTGATATATGATCTATATCACTAAAAACAAAGTTGACTTAAAGAATTTAGTAATTAGGAATTGTTTGTAGTCGAACAAATGAGAGAGAGATACTTTATAATCTATCTCTAAGAACAAAGCATAAAGATTTATGTAAGTTATAGGGTGATTAACTCGACTGGTACTATAAATCTACGAGGGAGAAAGTATGCATAGATTGAGATGAGAAACTCACATCTAATTTAGTTTATGTATAGGAGAATGACCGTAGAAGCCAGATATTGTTACGAAGATTGATGTAGGTATAGGAGGAATTAAACAAAACTATATACATTGTTTTTAATAAATAAATTGGAAAAGGCACAACATAGAGTATTTAGAGAGGTTTTATGGAAGGCTCTCTAAAGCGTTAAAATTGTTTAAATTTGAGCAAGAGAAAATACATATGATGGGGTCTAGTCAACTAATGTGAGAACACAAGGTAGAAATTTAAAAGACTTTTTTATAACTACAGGTGTTTATTAAAGGTCGCTTTTAGCCCATCCGATTTATCTTAGTTCTTGATATGCTTACATGTCCAAGAAATGATTCCAAGGTTCATGCCTTTTGTGAATGTATTGTCTTAGTTAGATAGTTATTAAAAAGATATAGATATTGCGGCAATCCTTGGAAATAGGTGGTTTCTGCCTAAGTAGAAGCAATGTTGTCGATCATAGTTCATAGATAGCGGATAATAATAGAATGTTAAAATTCTGCTGCGCATTAGTGCTATAGCACCACTGTGGCCTCTCCTGACAAACATTTTGTACTAAATTGTCTATCGCAAAACTATAGCAGTCTGTCCAAATTCTGCTACATTATAGCAGCATAGCGCCGCTATAGCTGCCATATAACAACATTGAGTAGAAGTAAAATAGAGTATATTCAATGCAAGTTTAGTAAATGACAAATAAATTCTACATAGAAGCTGATAATCCGTGAATAAACAATATTGTACTTCTCACGTTTGAAGTACCTTGGATTTATCATACAAAAGGATGGGTAGAGGTGTTCATGGTTAACCAAACGATGTAAACCAATCCACTTTATGGTCATAATTTGATAAATCAAACCATTAAAAAACCGGTTTAAAATTGTGAATTGGTTCCAAATTGGTTCAGAACTGGTTTATTATAAAAACCGGTTCATGTTTAGATTGATATAAAAAAACTGATTTTTCTTGAATTGATTTTAAATCTACACAACTTTACGATCACTGATAACAACGTTGGTGGAGGAGATGAGACGGAGGTGGAAGGTCTGGAAGAGTATTAGCAAATGTTAAGAGGAATTAGGAGAACAAATGAGTAGGTTCTAACCAATTTTGTAAGATGGATACCCGGTTTTTTATTTGTGAGCTTGAATGGTTGGGGTTCAGTTTTTTCACATAATGGTTTGAGCTTTTTATATATGGAATGGTCTAATTACCAGTGTGATTGTGGTTATGAGTAACTGGGTGTTTTGAACACCCCAGGGGGAGGAGTATTTTGGCTGTGATATGCAATAAAAAAATACCTCTCAATTCCCCCTACCCATCACTTTTAAATTTTGTAATGTTGTGTGGAAATGAACATTAGGTGATAAAAAAACCAACAAGAAAGTAAAGTTAGAATCATAAAGACGAGTGTTAGGTTGAATGTGGGATCGCACGAAAAAAATTATAAATACAGTTGTTGGAGAGAAAATTGAGGTAGTCTCCGTGATAGAGAAGATGGTAGAATCCTGACATACATGTTTGGGACAGTGAAGAATACTCACAAACAGAAACGAAGGAAAATTATAGACCAAACATTAGGAGTGATTTAGGGGTACATGACGGTCTATCTTTAGATCAAATTCATGGCATAACTTTATGGCGTCAATTGACTGATGTAGTCAGACTCTAAATAGTGGAAAAAGGCAAGTTGTTATTTTAATTAGATATGTCTGTGTCAACAAAATAAACAGTATTTGTATCTTAAAGTAAGCATATCATTTTATTCTAAGATGTCAACTTATTCATTGAACAACTCTAAGAGTGTGTTTGGATGAGGTAATTAGGAATTTTTAAGGAATTCAAAATTCTAATTAATTCAAATGATTCAATTGAAATTCAATTTTATATATTTTTAATTTGGATGGAGTATTAAAATGATTCATTGTTAAATTTTTAGGGTCATTTTCATAAATTTTTAGACTTTTGGATCAAATTTAAAATATAAAAAATAGCGACCAATTTGCAATTTTTGAAAATTTTAAAGGACCAATTTGTAAATTATTGAAAATTATTTAGGAACTTATTTGCAATTTTTTTGAAAATTTTAGGGGTAAATTTGTAATTTTCATAAAATACGAGGACCATTTTGCAAATTTTGAAAAAATAATAAAAAACAATTTAACATTCATATTATGGAGCAATCTCAAATTCTTTACTTTTTTATGTCATTTGAAATTCCTTAAATTTGACTTAATGCTTCATAAATTCACATCATTTTAACAATTCTCCATATTTTTTATCCAAATAATCAATTTTGATCAAATCATTTTAAATTCCCTAAAAAAATTACTTTTCCTCATTAAAATGCTTTATCCAAACACACTCTCTAAGTAATTAGTGAAATATTGCATTTTCTCTGTCTGACAGCACTCTATACAATTCTCATCTCGTTTTATCTCTTCTGAAAAAACTATCACTTTTCAACATTTATCATTCTGATGGATATTATAAGCAACAAAAATAAATTGGTTCATTGAACAATTAATGTATCTGATATATAATAATAATCAGATACATCAATTATTCAATTAGTCAAAAAAGCTTTTTGTTGCTTATAATAGTGACTCGAGGGTGTATATATTTTGAGAATTTGTTGGTCTAGGGTATACTGACGGATCATATTTCTTAAGTTTTTACTTCTTCTTCTCTTCAACCTTAAAAGAAATGGTAAACTCTATAAGAAAATAAACAGAGATTATAATAGAGTAGCAAATTTTGTGTACTGTGTTGAATCAGTGGGACAGGTTCATATTAAACAATAATGCAAAGGGAAAATCCCTTTTGATGGATATTATAGTTTATGAGTTAGAACTAGAAGTGTAAAGCGTTGTATTTTGTTTTTAGTCATTTAGATTTTGAACATCAACATGAGTTACATCAGCGTCTTTATTTTCTGCATAATTCTCCATTACATTTTCGTAAAGAATAAAAGGAAATAGAATCTGTATATGGTTTCCTGTTGTTCGCGAATTCGACTTCAATTGATTTCACTTTTCAGGAAGATTTGTCTAAAAAGAAAACCAAAGCACTTTCTAAACGGATGAGAAAGATGCAGGAGTTAGAAAAGAAGATGCAGGAGAAGGAGTTTGAGCGCGCTTTCTTTAGAGAGTTCTGGCCTGACAATGTATGAGAATTGGTGATGGGTTCATATTATAATGCATCACTGGTGAATTCAGAGTCTGTGCAAGTTGGATCTCAAAGGTGTTTTCCTCGGGATACTTACAGATACTTACAGGAGGATCTATGGAAGATTTTTGCAATTTGAAGGAATTTATGGCAACTTTTTTCATGTGTAAATAATCAACCCTTTTTCTCTTTTCAATTCTTTTGTACAATAGAGAAATATGCAAATGCTGAGGGAATGTGATGAGAGGAGATGTCTCTCCTGGATTAAAAAAATGATGATAAATGATGTAAAAAAAATGATGCTAAAAGGTTGCTGAGAGTGACGGTTCCTTGAATACGATTTTACATATTCTTTGGGCATATGATTGGTGGTGTTGGGTTATACACGTGAGAGTCCTCCATACGTGTTTTGGGTGGACATAGGACTTTTTTAATCTACTTTGTAAAACTCCCTAAAATGTTAGGTTTATCATAATAATCAAATGTGTATTTTCTATCAGTATATACTATAAAAACATCATCCCGGTAATACAAATTCGAATATATAGCGGGTAGATTGAGAAACTCCTTTTAATTGAAATATGTAGAACAGTTGTGAATATTTGGTGCACTGTTAGGGCACTAGAAGAGAGGAGGGGAGGAGTGGAGTAGGATCACGAGGGGTCATGATTAGAGAAGTGATTATTATCGAGAATTTCTTATTACACTCTATATAGGAGAAAAGGACTCTATGAAATTTCAAAAATGCTCTCCGTAAATTAGAAATATATTTTTGGTGTGTACTTTTTAATTAATAAAGGACATGTCAAATTTAGTTACACCCCAGTTTCAATTCAAAATCGTATTGTATGTGTATCTTTGGTATCACTCGGAGATGAATTGCTGGTAGAAGTGAGAATAGGTCAAATCAACTAATAGGGGCTTACTGCCTAGCCTACACAGGCCAAGGCCAGACCAATTTTTTTTTTAAAATAGAAAAGATTTAGGCTTTTTTACAAGTCTATTTAGTTAAATAGGCTAGGCCACATGTCATAAAAAAGTCTTTTAAGGCTAACAGACCAGTCTATTTTAATAAATATGAATAAATTTATTATTTATTATATTGTATTTTGTATTTTATATAAAAATACAAAAGAAAGGTTTTGTTATCTTGAAGAACTTGTGAAAATAAGTTGAAAAAATCTTATAAATAATTTCATAAGTTGTTTTCATAAGTTCTCTCAATCAAATAATCTCACAAAACTTATGCTACTATGTAAGCTCAAATAAGTCAATGTAAATAAATATTTAGTCTCATTGTACGTTTGATTCCTTAGTATATTTATATTAGTAAAATTGTGTATTTACACGTGTTCAAATGATATAGGTTTTTTAAGCAGACTAATAGACTAATCAGGCCATTGAAAATGTCAGACTCAGACAAAAAAATAAGTCTATGATAGGCCACAGGTCAGACTTAGGCTTTAAATTTTTTAGTAGGTCGGGCTTAGGTTTGACAAAGTCTATCTCGGCCCAGCATATTCTCACCCCTAATTATCGGGTAATAAGTGCAGAAAAATGAAAAAACGTTGTCACCTATGTACTTTTGATATAAACAGATATACATTTTCGGTTCATATTGAAATTCCAAATGCTTAAAACACTAAGTCCCATGTTGAAGTTAGATCATCAATATTACAAAAGTTTTCAAAACCTTCTCCAAAAACCCTATCATTCTCAATAATTTTTTTCACTCTAAATCTTCATTCATGTGGTTCATCATATCAAAAGGAGCTAAAAGATATTGAATTTAAGGTAAAATTCTCTCCTTTAAATCCCTATTAATCACATTATTCTGTTATCATCTTGAAAAAACGTTACGTTAATACAAAATATATATCTCCGATTTATGTATGAACATAACGGGAAGTGCATTCCTGGTTCTTGTTTCTGCATTTTCCAGCGCCATCCTTTTCTTATTTTCTCAAGATGTTTCTTAGTTAATTCTTTTTTTACATATTAGGTAATGATGCATCCGATATCATTCCCAAATCTATTGTATCTCAGGGTATTTCACCTATCGTTTTGAAGGTGGTTGATGTTCAGAATCATTTTATAAATGAACAAGAATATGAATTTCGTGATGACATGCTGCAGTAGATTTGTACGGAGGCCACCAAACAAGGCTTTGGTGTTGTGATAGGAAGGTCCAATAATAGTTCGGATAGAAGAAGTGCATTTGTGATTTTGGCATGCAAAAGAAGTGGGCAATATAGACGTCCAATTCAGAATTCGAAACAAGATGATACCGATTCAAGAAAATGTGAGTGTCGATTTAGGTTGTGTGAGTATCAGTTGGAAAATAATAAATGGAGGTTTAATGTGATATGTGGTTTACATAATCATGAGTTTAAGTGTAAAGTTAGTCGGTCATCCAATTGCATGTCGGCTCTTGCCGGAAGAGAAGGAATATGTGTCTGACGTGACAATTAATTTGGTATCCTCCAAAAACATATTTGCAACTTTGAAGCGCAAAAGATTCAGGAATATATCAAATATCAAGCAAGTGTAAAATCGGTGCTACCTATACAAACAAGCGCTTAGGGAGGATCCAATTGAAATGCAACACCTTTTGAAACTTCTAGATGATAACAATTATGTTTCTAGGCACCAGAGATGTGAGGATGGAGTGACAATAAGAGATATATACTGGACTCATCCTGATTCCATTAAATTGTTCGATACATTTCCCACTGTGTTTATACTTGATTTGACGTATAAGACCAACAAATACAAGTTGTCATTATTGAAAATTATTGGTGTTACGTCGACTGAGAAGACATATTCTGTTTGTTTTGCATTTCTAGAGTGTGAAAAAAATGACAATTTTGCATGGGCTTTAGAGGTTTGTTGGTCAATATTGAAGGACCAAGAAAATATGCTGAAAGTCATTGTTACCGACTGCGATACAACACTAATGAATTCAATTGTAACTGTGTTTCCGACTTCTTATGCATTACTTTGTAGGTATTACATTACTAAGAATGTGAGAAGTCGGGTGAAACCTGTGGTAGGGACAAAGCAGGTAGAGATTGAAAAAAGTAAACTGGTCAAGACGAGTGTTGTTGTGGAGAAAATTATGGATGCATGCAATGTTATCATAAACGCATCTACAAAAGATATATATATATATATATATATATATATATATATATATATATATATATATATATATATATATATATATATATATATATATATATATATATATATATATATATATATATATATATATATTGATGTTGTTATATATTTCAGAAAGGTGTGCGAGAAATATCCCGCTTTATTGAAATATATTGAAAGTACTATTTCGGACCAGCTAAAGGAGAAAATTGTTTGTGCTTAGGCCGATCAGGTTATGCACGTTGGAAATACAGTAACAAACCGAGTTGAGTCGGCTCATGCTTGTCTGAAGAATTATTGGAAAACATCATAGGTGATTTGTGTGCGGGTTAGGAATCAATGAACCTTATGATACTACACTAACATAAAGAGATTCAAATATCATTTGATCGTAGTATCACAATGTTAGAACACAGATTCAAAGATAGAAATCTCTATTCTCAGTTGGTCAGCAACATCTCCCGATCAACTCTCAATTACATTTTTCACGAAGCCAATCGAGCCTCTAATTTAGGCTCCGATAGCTTTAAGTATGGTTGCACCCTTGTCAAAACATACGGTTTCCCATGTGCTTGTGTTATATATAAGAAGTTGAAACATTATTGCCCGATACAAATGTAAGAGGTCTCCAATCATTGGAAGAGGCTGAGTTTTGATGACGATAGTGTTATGAGAGACGATAAATCGAGTATCATAATCTTGACGAAATGGGAAGCGATACAAGAAATTTTTTGAAATCCGATGACAATACGAAACTCCACACCAAAGAGAAATTGAGGAGGATTGCATTTCTGGAAACCACCGACTTGAAACCACCACCTCAACCGGTAAAAGCAAAAGTAGCACCTAAAAAGGTAAAACCTACAGCGAGTGAAAATTCAACGATAAAGAGTCCTTCATATTTTGAACATATTAACAAGGTATTTCCCGATTCGTCGACTCTGAAATCTCAAAAAAGTGTTTTCAAAGGAGCCCGCATTAGCAAACTACCTCCTACACCGTCTCCACCAAAAATACCATTCATCGAGGAGATGCCTATTTTTAGGCATAAATACATTGAACGGATCGTCAATGTCGGTGGTGACGGAAACTCTGGTTTTTGGGTTATTTCTGGTTTGCTGGGTAAAGGGGAAGACAATCACCAACTTGTTCACGATACTCTTATCAGAGAGTTGATGAGCAATAGAGAATTATACAAACGGGTACCCGGGACTAATGAAAATGTTGGAGATATTTATCACACGCTAGTACCTTGCACCAATAGATTTGCACTGGAGGAAAAATGGACGCGCTTCCCTGAGATGGGTCATCTGATAGCAAGTGCGTATGAGAGAGTGTGTATTATTCTTATAAGATATGATTTCTCTGAAACATTTTACCCACTACGCGCTGCTCCACCTCCAAATCTCAATGACTGTATCATCTGTGTTGGGTGACTCTAAAAAATGTGAGATTTTGTTCAGGTGTATTTGAAACTCGGATGCTCTATACATATTACATCACCGAAGTGGTCTAAAAATTATATAATTCAATCTCAGACTTAGCTGAATCATTTTATTGAAAGGATGCAAGAGTATTCCAAATTTAACAATATTGAAATAGAAAAAAATAAGGAAAAGTCAAAGGGTATACCGCCTTTAGATTTGTCAAGCAACAATTACTTCAGATCTTTTAAGTAGTTAGTTATCACTTTATTGTATATGACTTTTTGTTAATGCATTATGCCGTGGAATATAAATATTTTAGTACTAATAAATTATGCTACTTCTTTTATGCATCTGTTTATGTTTTTTAATACCAGGGACGTTACCAGAAATGTTTCTCCGGGAAAAACATAGGGTA